GCTCATTCACAATCATCACACAGTTTCTGTCACAGAGTATCTTAATATAACCGGAAATGACACCTGATTTTAAAAGTTACTCTTATGCATTAACTTTAAAAACAGGCAACTATCTGTTAATCTACATGCTCTATATACCTGAATCTAATTCATAATTTCGGTACTTGGCTTGATTTCCCTAGTTTACTATATAACTTATTTGTTTTTTATTATTTTAATATGTTCAGTGTATATGGTTTATAGAAGTTCTCAGGGGTGTTCTTCAATAATATTCGTTTCTACAGTAATTTATATATAATTTCGAAATCTAGGAAACAATTTTTCATGATTATTGGTCTTTAGGCCAAACATGTATGGAAGCTGAGCAATCTCCTTTATGACGTTCCATTTTTTTTGAAGGAACATCTTCACTCTGGTCGTCATTAGAATTAACAAACTCTCATCATATCAATTTAAAAGTGTTTTAATAAATCATTCACAATATATAAAAACATTAAGAAACGATTACATTAATATTACATTTAATGACCCCATATTTCAAAATACTCTGTAACACCATTAAAACCAATCAAAATTTTACTTTTAGTTAAATATAATTATTTAAAAAATGTTAGCTAATGATGTGTGGATACAGTCGCAATTAAAGCTTTACTTTAATATCTGAAGGCCGTACATTAAACTTCTACTGTAATGACATAGAATTGAGGTTGCCGGAGATGAAAGGTCTCGTGATCGATTCCGGGTTAAGGTAATTTAAAAGATGACCTTGATAAGTTAATTATTTTATTATAAATCAGACCACTAAATAATCGAAAATATTTACTGTTAGTATATACTCTTTTATTTATTTAATATTATTCAACGTTGAGGAGCTCGATGGCGCAAGTGGTTAGCGCGTTCGGCTGCGATCGTTGAACTTCAGCAACTTTCGCAGTGGTCGGTCATTGGATGGGTGACCAAAAATTATTATCTCAAGCTCCTCCGTGCTTCGGAAGGCACGTTAAGCCGTTGGTCCCGACTGCATCTGCAGTCGTTAGCACCCACCAATCCGCCCTGGGCCCGCGTGGTGAGTCATGGCCCAATCTCCCTATTCCATCCATAGGGAAGGCCTGTGCCCCAGCAGTGGGGACATTAATAGGCTGATATGAATTCAACGTGTTTTTAAAAATCTAAAGTAAGCACGACAACGGATAACAGATATGAAGAGAATATTTTTCCGTATTCGTATATTTCTCGAAAACATAGAACCCAAGAGACTAGAATATAACTTTATTCTGTACGTTTATATGTCGCAAGCAAAAGAGGAAACCAGGATTTTCACGAAATTCCTAGTGATACGGCGAAATAAGCGTAGATCAGGAATATTCTTGTTTATTACGTTTTCTTATAGAAATTGTTTAGTGATATGTCAAAATAATACATTAAATATAGTAAAATGTCAGTGAAGCGGATACTGCTGCATAATGCCTTATAAAAATGCCATGCGTTTCTTTCGTTTCCTCATTCCCCTACGACGTAGGTATTATATATTACCGTACCTCATGGATTTTCGTGCATGAATTATCTTAAGAAATTTTCACTTCATAAATAGTAAAAAAATGAAATACCTACTATTATTTATTATAATAAATAATAATTTTATTGTAACGAAATAATTATATCTCCATAACTTATTAAGTCATATCCAAGAAAATATTTTCAGCTAATTCAAAATCTATCAAAATAGTTTGTTCACCTAAGGATAATTAAAGCTATCAACTAGACCCGTTGATATATATAACTAATAATAGCACTAATAAGTATACTATATGACTTACGGGAGACTTCCAACTGAGAAGGATCGACCAGAAATTCCTTGTAATCGCCTATGCTTACTTTTAAGTAGTTTTATTATTAGTGCCTAATGGCAGCGACAATAGGTCAAGGTCAAGAAAACAAATGTTTGGGCAAATAAATAAAATTAAAAAAAAATTAATAACGTATCCAAAATAATTTTTAAATGCATACACCCCGTGTTCTAATATTACAATCAGAGATTGAGTTTATATTTCGACCGACTAATGAATAATGTTAATTTTTTTCAAACAAAACCATAACAAATGCATTGAATTTATTAAGAGGACATGTGTGAGTTCGACCGCACACGAAAGGTGCCATATCATTTGACATTAGTGCTTAGAATAATTCCGACCGCACACGAAAGGTGCCATATCATTTGACATTAGTGCTTAGAATAATTCTAAGTATTAGTGATTTAAAACTAAGGTCGCGTTATTTTTCTGATAGTTAAATTCGACTATGGTAATGTTACGTCAAATACATAACGAATGTGGCAAATTTTGACAAATGGTTATTTTTCTCTATAGGATTTAATATAGTCAAAAAAATTAACTATCAATGAAACACAGCGGCCTAAGTCGAGCGAGCGAACAGTTTGGTAAAATCAGGTTTTTTTATAATTCTGCCTAATCAATTTCTAGATGAAAAGTGTCCTAACCTAGATAAAAGCTATCGGTGTGCCAAAACTTCATTTTAACCACTAAATAATAAAGGGTGATTGTGTGACCGACATCCAATCTAATGCATGAAAAAAATCTTCAAACGTTAATTTTCTCATTTTTAATATAAGTAGGATAGTCAAGGGTCATGATCAATATTGTTTAGCATATTAACTGAGTAAACTTAATATTCGGTGCGATTAATAATTATATTATATAACATCGAGTTTAATGAGGATTGAGGACTTTTTAGAAAAAAAACAACACTTAAATTCAGTTCGAAAATCATAATTTCAACGAAAAACATCGAGTATTTTTAAAGGCCAAAGTTAATTTTGTAATCGTTTCGAGGTTTTCATTTATCTCTGTGCATTTCAAAATCCTCAACTATAATAATGTAGTGTTCTATATTGCTGTGTTTAGTATATTCAAGCACTATTACATTTTTAGTAAGTCGGTAGACTCTATTATTCAAACTTAATATCCGGCGGGAAGAGCTAATTTGCTGCAACTTGTAAAATATTGAGGTCAGATTTAGTTTTTTCTGGCGGTTACGTAAAGATTTTAAATTATGCAAAAAGTCATGACATAATACTAGCTGGAGCCAGCGGCTGGAGCTAATATTAATTTGACACAATTACGTTTTGATGAAGTACGTACACAAGGGTACAATTTCAAAGCAATGACTATTCTAGACTGTATTCTCTACATTATTGAAGCGAATGCATATTTTACAGCGTATGTTACAGGCAATATGTATAATCTGGCATTTCATAGTTCTATAGAATGCCTTAAACGGTCAGACAATGTTTTAAATGATAATGAACTAACTATATCGATAGTGGAAAAGCAAAATCGCTTTCTTGTCATTTACAGAGAAATTTGTATGATAAAATCGGAATCCCTAAACTTAATACTTCGTATATTTTACAATCGAAAATTATTTTATCAATAATGTAGAAATTAAAGACACGTTACGCTTAGTTCCTATTTTTATTTACTATAATACTTATATTTGACGTTCTGTACAATTGTAGGTCATTAAACTAACATATAATTCATCATCTAAGACATATTATTCATTTAATTAGAATATAGAACTTAAGTACTTGTATTCTTATGTTACGTATATCTGCTAAGTAGCCGCTATTATTGCAGAGAAATCCTTTTATTAGCTAAAACAAAGTGTTGGTAAAAATGAATACTGCAAAATCGTCAAACAGCTTATATCTTTTTTATTTAATTTTTTCTTTGCCTGATCGCAACTCGCCACTTCATAAAAAAATCTAGCCATTTTGAATAGTCTCTGAATTAAATACTTCACCGGTGACACATATGTATAGTTGAAAGTAAAGTGAATGTGAAATGCAACTTGTGGGTGGTGTTACGAGCGAGTTATATTGAGATGCTGAATGTAAGCTGCGGCTTTGCTTTAGTTAGACAAAGTTTTTGCATACTTAAAATCTTACACGAAATTCATTACCAACGCTAAGGCTTGGCAAGAATTTTCGCACTAGTGAATGCTCTTAATGCTCACAATAACGTTATCCATGACAATGTTCAGGCAGATAATCATCTTTATTTTTGAACTTTTCAAAGTGGTTTTAATTTATCCTTTTATTTAAAAAAGTAAGACCATTTAGGAATTTAGAAAGTCCTAACTACAATCCTGACTGATCCTAAAAAACTTTCGGACTTTTTAGTCACAAAATGGTACCATTACTCACTTAGTTACAATAGTATGGTATTTAAATCAATATTTTCTTTTATTATTCATATTCAAATAATTAAAAAAATCCGGACTATTCGAAGATCCGGACTAAGACCGGACTATAGTCTAGAAGTCCAAGTGGTTTATTTCTATTTTACTGTCTAAAAGAAATCTCTGGCGTCTTGCAAAATATAACGGTTTATATATATGTACTATATGCAAATACACTTTACTTAGTAACATAGTTCCTATTTTAGATTATGCTATCTTGGTTTATTCCAAAGAATTTTATACACTAAAGAACCCGCTGTATTCTTGCAAAATATAACGTTTTTTTCTTGTCATTCTATAAAATCAAAGAATTGCATATGTGACTAGTAATATAGTTCCCATTTTCTTTATTATTATCTTGGTTTATTTCTAAGTATTATTTTACACTTCGAAATAATTCTCACGTATCTTGAAAAACATTAAATAAAGTTATTTTTGGATTTTATGAAAGGAAAGGATTGCATTCAATCAACTTAGTGACTCAATTCCTATTTTCGGTTACTATTTCATTTATTTCTAAGTATTTTTATTTACAATAATTTCCACAACAAAGAAGTTTTTTTGCATCTCATAATAGAAAAGGGTTGCACAAAATTTTCGTTCTATTCTTATAGGTGATCCACTAAAACCTGCATATGCATAAAATCATGGAAATTGCACACTTAACATTGAAAATATAACACAATTCCGAACTTCAATAATTCCACAGCGATGAAAATCATCATGGGTCGAACACTTACACCGCGGGTTTCCACGTAATTTGACGAATTGTCCATCGCAATCCAAAAAATGCAGCGACAGTACACACAACACAGACCACGTGTAAACGAGCAACATCTTGCTATATTTCGCGAGAAAAAGAACCGGTCCATCGCATCAGTCTTATATAGGTACTAAAACCTCGCATTAATTTTTTTGAACAAAAGAATCAACCGGTCCGCGGCAGCTCAACTGTTCTTTCCGAAATGCAAACTCATATACGCAAACAGTAGTACTATGTAACGATGATGATAAAGTAGTCTTACTTTTAACTAATTTGATTAGATTTTGTGTTATTCGATAAATCTTATATCGTAGCAGTGACATTGTACGTATTTTTATTAATATTTTTGTGAAAAATGTTGAGGAATATTGGCATAGATTTTTTTTTATCAAATATTTAGAAAACACAAATAAAAAAAATATAATGTTTTTTTTAATTCTCCTAGTAGGTACTACTAGTCTACTGCTAAGATAATATTCTTTTCTTAATAATAATTAATTTTATTTATAAGTGGCTACAGCCAAAACACTTTGAATAATACGTTTCATAACGATTACATAAAATATTAACTAATATACTTTACTTTACATAATGCAGTTTGCGGAAATGATGCATGTTGCTTAGGGCCGTATTAATAGATCGCTCTCACCTCTAAGAGTGATCTTGAGTGCGATCTTGAATTCTGTTTTGTATGAAAACAGTATCTCAAGATCGTAGTCTAAGAGTTGAGAGCGATCTATTAATACGCCTTAGACACTTTTGATAAGTGTATGTATAAAAAAAACTGCCTGTAATGATTTGAAACCCAAACAGAAATAAAAAACAGATATAAAAAAGGACTGCGGGAGAATAAATTAAATTAGAGAAAAAATCGAGATCTTATCACAATGCTTATGCAGTAATCGTTGCGGGAATCTACTTAAATGATTTAATTACATAGAAACTCAAAAAAAAAATTTATATGTCGAAATTAAGATCCTCCTTTGATTCAAAAGTTAATTTTAAATCAAAGAAGAAAGATAGTATATACGAATATTATCAGGAAGATATGAATCTAGAAAATAGATCATACCGATCAGGCATTCAGTACTACTTTCCTACTCATATTATAAATGTGAAAGTTATTTATTACTCTATCACGCAAAAATCTAACGAAAGAATTTGGATGGAATTTGGTATATTTTTATAATATATTATTTATACTGTATGACACAGCAATCAAAATGCAGCTGAACACTTAATGTATCTTTGGTGTCACCTTTGATGTCGTGTAACGGCAAAATAAATAGATAACCGTTTAAGATTTATCTAATATATAAAATTCTCGTGTCGCGGTGTTTGTGGTTAAAGTCCTCCTAAACGGCTCGACCGATTTTCGTGAAATTTTATGTGCATATTGGGTAGGTCTGAAAATCGGACAACATCTATTTTTCATCCCCCTATATTAAGGATAATCCAGCCCTAAATTCTTTTTTCAATTTTAGATATATTTTTTTAAATTTTTTTATGATACACCAAACAAACATACATACAACCCTAAAGTTTCACCTTTCTACCACCAACTCCTATTTTTTTATGCCGGTACGAACTTCGCTGGGTGAGCTAGTATATATATATATATATATTTACAATTATAAAGTATTTACAAAAAAATAAAAATAAAAAAAAATAGGGAGAAAAAAAAGTTTGAGTACGTGTGTGGTACGTATAAGGAACATGTAAGGTGAAGTTGTGATGTGTGGAGGTGTGAAGTGGGAATTGTAGAGGGCGTGGGTCGTCGGCGATCTTCTCAGTGGCAGCTTGAGGGTCTGGAGGACGTGCTGCTGGCGGAGGGGCGGCGCTTCTGGGAGGCAGAAGCGCTCCTGTTCAGGCGTCTCTCGATTCTTGGCCTACCCTGGTGGTGGCTGGCGGGCGCTGCTGGTAGGTTGGGCGGTGAAATTTTGTGACGACCGGCACTGCTGGTGGAACGGCCGGCGCCGTGGGTAGGCGGGCCGAATCAGCTGGTGGCTGGCCGAGGTAGCTGGAGTCCGGGCGGCAGTAGGGGTCCTTTGAAGAGGATGACCGTATAGTGTGGTATAGTCGAGTAACGAGTACTTTAGAAAGCCAAAGGGTGCTGTATAGTTTTGAGGTCTTTGCTTGAATACCGGGGCAAGCGGCCCCGGGACAAGGCCTTTTAGAAATTAGGAGCTCGGTAGCGAGCTATCAAAAGTTACGTTGGCAATTTTTGCCAAAGAAATGATTGAAGGATCAGGGTGGCTCGGCCTTTTAAAGGTCCGGATAAAACACGATTCGAATCAAACTAAAAAGAATCAAAGTAGGTGGTCTGTGGAGGTTGAATAGGCATAGAGCTAGTTGGAGAGAGTATCCGTGTCATGGGTAGCCATGGTAACGGATAAAAACACGAAGACGTCAACAATGTCAAGAAAATAAATAAACAAAAATTACGACCAAAAAAAATAAAATCGGAGAAAAAGTAAATAAATAAATATCAGAATATAGAGAAATGCCATTAAGTGTCTTTAGTACAATAGGCTTCTGATACGTATTTACTAAATAATAAATAGTGTATAATAGTTCTGAAATTGTGCGTTTCCAGGAATTAAAAATGAAATATGTGTATAAACATGATGAATAACTATGATGTTAGATGACAAAATGTGTGAAATGAAATCTTTGAATACCAAAAGAAAGGTTCGTCCCTGAGGTACGTTACAACGACTCTGTAAATAATAAAACATAAAAATACAGAAGAGAAAAATACAGCCCTTGCTGAGTTTCTTGACAGTTTTTCTCAGTACAAGGTCTCCCGATTTACGAACCGATGGCATAGCTTGTAGACATTCATGAGTGCTTGTAACAGCCTAAACTGAATAAATGATTATGATGATTAGAACGATTTTCTTTAGTTAGAAACAGTTAGAAACCAATAAATTAGAATCAGGTGATCGAATCATGACATTCTAAGAGCACCATATTGATTAAAGGGGATTCTTAATGCCAGTTGACCGCGCTAACATTGCGTTTCTTATTTTTACTTCGGGATTGAAACTCGACGCAATATATTACCTTAACAAGCCAATGTTTCATTGATAACACGCAAGTATCGTCCTTTCTAAATGGACACCCTGACACAACCTCGATATTATTGGCTAACAACGCAGTGAAGATACACGTAAAGGATTGTTGATTTAGGATGTAAGTAATGGCTTTTTGAGGTTATGGGCATCGATAAAAATCATATACAACAGCGCACTGAGAAAAAAAGGTTTTACGCTGGCTGATTTCGTTTCGATGATAAATGATGTTTAGAATTGGGTCTGTGACTTGTGATATGCGATATTTTTTGTTGTTTCTCCAAATATGAAATGTAAATATTGCATATCATTTTCACATAAGCATTTAAGAAAACAGTTTATTTACTTTTAATTCTACAAATATTTATTTATCAATAACTTACAACTACTTAAGCCACGTTGTTTAAAACAGTTAAATTTGACCATTAGATCAAGTGTAAAATTTTGACAAATGTTTATTTTTTCTATTATATTTTAACTTAATCTCATTTAACTGTGTACAACGCAACCTTAGCCTAATTTAAATACATGCACGAGGTGTTAAAGTAATGCTTCAATGGGCAGTCTTATCAATCGCTAAATGCGATTTTTTCCAGACAACCTTTGGATTGGAGGGAAGCTGGAGTCGGCGGTGTTAGAAACAAGGTATATAAAAAAGATAGTAATAAATAATACAATTTATATGACACAGATACAGGTGCCTACTTATACCTACTTAAATAATATATATAATTTTCAAAATAAAAAAAAAATATTAACCCTAGCGCCGCGCCGTCAGGAATGGTGCTCAATATTGCATAATATATTTTTAAATTATTCCTTTCACAATTTGTCTGACCGAGGTCTGACCTAAAGTGAAAGACTAATCTCCTCTTATTAACTGTCACTCTTTGAGGAATTGAAAAGTCAAATCTACATTCCGTCTTTTGAAATCAATAAAATCAAACCGGTCAAACACAAGTCGGTCTCTCATATGAATAGTTCCATAACATTGTACAATATATTAAATACAGAGTCGAGCAAAAAAAACTCATTATTGTTTTTTATATGGAGTTATTAATTTTTAAGTTACTATAGTAGTTAATTATAATTTTCATTTTTTAAGCATGTAACTGCTTGATGTTTAAATCTAAAGCAAATAAAACTAGAAAAAAATCCACGCGGACCAGGCAGCAGACGGGACTATAACGGGACGGGACTGTAACCTAAAAGTTGTGAAATGTAGTTCCTATATTTTAGAAGCAAAAGTAAAAGCTAATTTTATGACATACTTATAGCTCCTGACAGACAAAGAAACGCACAGTGGGGGCGTATTAATCGAGTTCCTTTTTTGCGATCACGGACCCGAAGTTCAGGATCCGAAACGTGAAAACGTCAAGAATGATGTAAAAAACAAACAAAACCGCGCTTTATGGGTACAAACGGGTGTTTAAAGTTTAATAATAGGATTTAGTCACCCTTTTCGCACGGGACCTGTACTTTTAAATTATATAGTCTTTGGTTCAGAAGCCGGAGCACTAGCGTCTGTCGTCACGAGCATTTCGATCTTAGGAACCTGCGATCGGACCCAACGATATTAAATATCGTTGATCGGACCACATAATACATTATACAAATGAAAGAATGCTTAAGCGAATAACACCTAAAGTAAACTTTGGCTTGTACCAACATAAAAGTTGTAAGATGTTCTTAACAAAGAATGTTTCCAATAAGTAATTGTAAGAATAGTCAAGGAAAAGGAGAGCAGGTAAATAATTATCTTTATTAAAAGGAGCAGGTAAATAATTATCTTTAAAAAAAAATAATGAAGATGATATTAAAAACGTCCCTAAAGTAATAATAATGCTCCAATTAACGTCAGCCAATAAGGAAGTTTTGATGCAAGTGACTGTAAACCAGTTTGACGTTTAGAGCCACCAACATTTTTAAGAATGAGTTTACTAAGCTCTTATGTTTTTCGCTAAGTGTCTTAATTGGCGTAGCGTAATGTTTCCTTCAAAGTGTGCAAGAAAAATCGCATATTCGCTAAAGAACCCTAAGCGCAACCGCACATTGAACCACTAAACGCGACCACACAC